TTCATCTGATCTGCTTAGTAAAGTAGCAATCTTTTTACTCCTAACTTTTTCAGTTGGGGGTAGTTCATAGTTTAAGCTCAATTATATTATTACATATTCATATTACCCATTTTTTACGCTAAGGGTGGTGGAACCCTGAACAACATTATTTTGGAGTGCAAGAATTGGATCAGAAAAGACTGAAACGTCAAGTGTTGTCACATTTTGCGGAAACAAAATAAAGTAGCAGACTGGTTAATTAGCTAAGAATTATAGTGTTAAACCTGACTTAGCCTTGTTATATTTTTGCCCAGATGCCAAGCTTGCGGCTTTAGTCCAAAATAATTGTATGAAGTCCCTTCAGTCCGTGGTGATTAGTGTCTTTTGTTTCCCGGGGTTCCACCCTTCTCTTTAAAATAAAAAATAAAAAAATATTTGACTCAGTATAATAATAATGCAGAGCATCATTTAAGCAGACCCCTTGCCTGAACTATGGAAGTACCAAAAAGAAAAATCGAAAAGATTGTGATTTTGTCATGTTTGCAATTAGTAATTGAGCATTTGAGCATAAGCTATAAAGCATTGACCTCAAAACTCACTGCAAGCTGAATTTGGGCTACTGTTTAATGGCACCACCTAAAAAGAATAGCAGGTTAAGTGTAATCTTTGTCTATCCATAGTAATAGATGTTCAAAATTTAAGTAGTCATGTTTGGTAATTGTGTTTTTTTTTGAAAGTTACTGGCTCTATTACATTGTAGTATCTGTTCATATACTTTCTCAACCTACTGAAACACAAAGAACCAATAACGCCTCCACTAAGGCTCGAACTCATAATCTACCAAATAGAAGTCCAACCCGGGTACCATTAGACCACTATTAATTGTTTGATTTAGTTAAAATATCAATATAAATGTTTGGTTAATTAGCTTTTTACAACTCTAAAAGGCTAAAATACAAAAAGCTACTCCAAGCAATTTTTTCAATTAACTTTTTGATAATAGAAATTATACCAAACAGCCAGGGTTGCAAAAATCCCGCCTAGGCGCTAGGCGCCCCTAGGTCGTGGCAATTTTCCCCCTAGGCTCCCGCCTAGGACACCGGCCGCCAAGGCGCCCGCCTAGCGCCTAACTCGGCCGATTACGCCGAGTTAACTCGGCTAACTCGTCAATTTCTGTCGAGTTAGCCGAGTTAACCCCGCCGACTCGACCTTGCTAATTTTTTTTTTAATTTATATGACATATATATATATATATATATATATATATATATATATATATATATATATATATATATATATATATATATGTATGTATGTATGTATGATATGACATATATGTACCTACACACATGCACTGTTTTTCATTTTTTCAGTTAGCCGCCTAGGCGACCGCCTAGGCCGTCTAGGCGCTAGGCGCTACTCTACCGCCCGACTAGCGCCTAGCGCCTATTGCAACCATGCAAACAGCTATTAGCTAACAGCTAATTTACCAAACACTTTTCTACAATCAGCTAATGTTATCAACTATTTATACCCTCTAATTAACACAATCAGCCAACATCTAACAACTATCAGCTAACAGCCATTTTACCAAACAGGGCCAAAATCTTTGCTGCAGAAAGATCGGAAAAGAAAGAAAAAATAAAAGAAAAATGAAAAGGCTTGGCAGATGTCTAAATGGGATCACTTGTCGTGGTCCGTGGTTGTCCTGAAAGATAATTCAAGGTACAATATATGTACAATGAAAGAGTATGATCGCGTGGAGTCGTGCACCAAGCAAGTTTCTTTTATCTTTAGGGTGGGTATGCCTTTCATTTTTAGGGTGGGTATGCCTTTTGGATTTAGAGAAAACGGAGATGACGAATTTGATCGTTTTTCCAAATAACTTCAGGATTCAAATGAAACTCCAAATGGTTGACAACAAAATAGGAGAATGCAAAAGACACTAGCTATTAAATGTGGCGTTTAATTTTTTTCATGCTGCATTACTTTTGTTTTCTTGCGATAAATTTTACTTCTATGATTAATTGAGCTGTTCATGCAAATACCTTTTTGTTTTCTTATTACTAGAGGATGCTTTATTATTATTATTAATATTATTAAATATATAGGGATACTGACATAACATAACAATAATATAAATTAAAGTACAGAAACGCATGTGGGCTAGGGAAAGTGGGTGGGTCTGCCCTTCTACAATTCACAAGTGAATTTCCCAATAATTTTTAGTTCAGAATGTGGAAAATGGTCCAGGTTTTGCATTGTGATATTACTTGGTGTTTTACCCAAAAACTGTACTGGAAGAAGTCATTTGTGTTGGAAGCCTTCTAGTACATTCACGCTCAATTCTCATAAGCAAACAATGATAATTATTTTTATTGTGTGGGTCTCAAAAAAAGATGTTTATATCAAAAATTTGTGTGAAGGAGTAATATGTGAAAATAAATATTTAAAGTCTAAGGGTGTGCTTGGTTCAAACATTGAAATCAGAATCAGAATGAAAATTAAATACTTGGTAAAAGTTTAAAAAATGCAAAACAAAAATTTAACGCAATTAATTTTAAAAGTTATGATGAAATGAGTAAGCAATGCACTAAGAAAGTCAATGAATGAGGAGAGATGGGTGAGAGACGACGAAACTGAAGGATCTGTGTCGGAGTGTGGGGAATCCTTAGAGAGTTAGAGTTGGAGTTCAGCCTTTTAGAAGAATAAAATGAAAAAGAATAATGCTGAATTAATGGGATGATACTTGATTTAAATTAGTTAATAAATTTTGTATTATATAATAATTAAATTTATAAACCAAACAATGTCTATAACTATCATTTCAATTCCTTATGTATAACCCATGACCAAACACACCCTAAATAATATTTTTCAAAGCGTAATTAAGCGTTGCTTGTTGCGAGGGACAAAGAGTACGTAGCAGTAAAATGAATTGAGTGCATGTGTGTTTGCATTGCCGCCGTTGCTGTACAATATTTGCAGAAGGCACACCAAAAATTTGGCCTACAACATACATCGTCAAAATCATCTCCAAGCCGGTCAGCTATAAGCAACTTATGTTAATTTACTTTTTTATAGTCATTTGTCAATTAGGATTACAAAACAAAGTTCATATCGTGCACACCCTCGAATCGTGGCTGCTAGAGGTGGCCAAATCTTGGGACAAGAATCTGTGATACGGTCTCACACAAATTTTTACCTTTTAAAAATAACAATTGAGTCATATAATAAAATTAAATTAAAAATAAATCAAATTCACGTTTGTGCTTGAAAAAACTCCACAAAGCACACCTCGTCTCACGGACAAAGATTTGTGAAACGATCTTACACAAGTTTTTAACTTTTGAAAATAACAATTGAGTCATATAATAAAATACATTTTTTTTAAAATTGAATATACGTTATGCTTGTCAAAAACTTTTTTAAAAAAGGGACTTTCTATCTATAACAATGATTTCATCAAATCACAATATACAGCTGAATTTCATTTTACTTAAAAAGGATTTTCATTTCCGGGGTGCATTAACCTTACATCTCTTTAAAATTTTCACATAAAAAATAACAAAGAAACAAGCTTTTGACCTATTATTCGTCTCTAATGCAGAGATGAAGCTCTTCGTATCCAATCTAGAGACAAAATCAAAGGTAAAGACTAATAGCTTCAGATGAGTTTTATTTATTCTTTTTAAATTTCACTATATAATAGGTAAATTAATTTCTTTTAAAAAAATTCTTTACCTCTAAAATGCTTGCTTGAATGCCAAATCAGCAAACTTAGATGCTATTTTAGCAATCCGGTAATTTACTAAAAGTGCAAATTACACCTTTTAATAAAAAAAGGTATGACGTGTCTAATGGAGCTTTTCCGTTGGTAATATTAAATTTCCCTAATCTTATCTTATAATATTCACGATTTGCAACTTTTCTTATTATGATTATGATAATGCAAATTAAATTTAAAAAAAATAAAAATAAAAACTGGAATACCAAGTAGAATGTGTAATAAAGGCAAACAGAAGCGACAAGCTGGATGAGTGGGACTAGATTACTAAAAAGTCCACCACTCTGATTCACCCCATCTGTGCGCCATTAAAATAACCTTCTTTATAGTTCTTTAACCCACACACGACTATCTAAGTTGTTTGGTTGGCAATAAGCAATGATACATGATTAAATCTTAATAGTCTTAATTTGAGAGTCACATTTAAGAGTTAATTTTATTTCTGGTTTTAAATTTATAGGTGACAGTATATTTTTAGGTTTTTTTTTTTTTGTTCTAGTATTATTGTAACATGACCAATTTTGGTTCTCTATTAAAAAAAATCATTGAAATTTCAATAAATACAAGAGCATTACGCTCTTCAATTATGATTTGTTTTCAAAAAATAAGTATAAAATATATAACGGGTCAATGCACTTTGTATTAAAAAATCACAATGTCTTTCTATTTAACGAAATTTCAACAATTTTGTTGATAGAGGACCAAAATTGGTCATGTCACAATAATACTATGACAAAAAAAGGAATGTTCTGATAAAAAAGAACTAAAAGTGGACTGCCACCTATAAATTTAGGACCAAAAATGAAATTAACTCTCACACCTAATATGGTAGATTATTTGTGTGCAGTAACATTAATCCTCTCACTTAATGGGTTGCTAAATTAATTTACCATATTAACAAATTATGTCGGGTCAATGTGTGGGGACACCAACGACACGCATCAATTAACCACATCATATGTTCGCACGGGCTTAACTCAGATTCAGTAAATAATATTTGAGTCAATGTTCAAACCTAGACAACATTAATATAGAGATTATACCCAGAGTGAACAATCTCTTGTACAATTACATTTAGTCCTGTCTGCTGAATCATCGAGTCTCTAACATCCTTCCGTGTAAGGTGTGGGACTTGGGCCACCTCAATCCCTTCCTAACTTCAACTCCTACTCTCTCGCGGGGTGTGGGGCCTTGGGGAGGGGGATTCATTAACCACAGCATATCAAGTATCAACTTCAATACCGTCCTAACATCAACTCTTATTACTCTCTCTACCACTCTAACCCCACTGAAACTTGTGCATATATATATATATATATATATATATATATATATATATATATATATATATATATATATATATATATATATATATATGCGCTCATATATTGACAGTGAGTCTGAGTTGAGAGGCGATGAAGATGATGAAGGGTTCAACGAAGCCAGTTTCAAGCCCCAGTAGAGCCCAGAAGTTTCCGCCGCCATTGATGAGGTTTCTGAGGAGCAATGCCGGGAGCAAGAGCAAAGGGAGGTCGCGCTCACGCTCGTTGTTCATGCGTAGGAAGAACACGGCGGCCGGCGTTGAGATTTCCCAGGAGCCATCTTCTCCCAAGGTCACTTGCATAGGCCAAGTCCGGGTCAGAAGATCCACCAAGTCCGCCGGAGGCGGCGTCAAACGCTCCGAGTCTCGCCGGAAAAAAAGTTCGCCCCCCTCCTCCTCCGATCAACTCCCCTGTTGTTGGGCCCGCAAGACTCTGTTTTGCCATGGATTCTCGAAGAAACTCTGCAAACCCAGACCACTCCCCTCCTTGTTACGCCAATGTGGACGGTTTTTCGGGTTCGGGTCTTGCAGGCGAGCCCACACCGCCGGTTCTCCGGCGGAGGAGAGCAGTGGCAGTGAAGAAAATGGTGTAAAAATCGAAGCTTTAGTCCAAGAAGATAACAACAATTTTCTTGGATCTTCATCTTCACCACCCAAGAATGCTTTGCTTTTAACCCGGTGTAGATCTGCTCCATATAGATCTTCATCGCTGGCTTGTAGGTTCTGGGGTTCGCCATTAAAGCCCCCCACACAAACAGATGATTCCGGGATTGAATCCAAGCATTTGCCTCAAACATTACTACTACTCATCCAAGAAAAGCCCACTTCTTCACCAGATTGTGGAAACGCAGAAGCTCTGGAATCAGGGAGGAGCCAAGAAAGTGAAGATTTTGGGAGCTCAAATGGTGAAAAATGCAGAGAAGAAAGTCCTCAAGAACCCAGTAATAAAGTCCACCCATTGTTGCTCACAAGGTGCAAATCTGAACCAGCAAGAACAGGGGAAAGACTCGTTCCAGATGCTGGTTTCTGGAAACTAAGAAGATTTGCAGAGCCCCAGCTTCATTGATAGACATCACAATTATGAATTACTTTTTGTTTATATTTACTGGGTATAATATTTCTGTACTAATTTTGTTTACCCAAAATCTTAAAGAAAAAATACAGTAATAATCAAGTCAGATAATATGTTAAGATTCTATCTATCTTTTTATTATTTTTATTATAAAAAAAATTTATGGAAAAATTTATTAAAAATAAGATATATAAGGAAGGTATTGTTGTATGTATAAAGTTACAGGGTTGAGTGGTATAGTGGAACATAGGATGCGTGGAAGAGGACGAAATGGTTAATGATGCTTTTTATGTTTTTATGTTGCGAGATGTCAGCGGTCTGCAACGCACTCCGAGGGCATTTTGTATGTATATTACAGTACTTGTGTGGTGCCATAAAATTCAATTTCTCTCAACTGTCTCCTTCATCTACGTGTTTCTTTGGTTTGGGGGTGGCGTGAAATTATTTTTTTATTTTATTTTTTTATAATCCAAGTTTTCTGACTTTTGTGTAAGGGACCTAGAGTTCAGCGTAGCACACATCCTTCGTGTGGTGTCTTGAGACCCCTCTTACTTCGCGAATCAGTCTTACCTTCATACCATACTAAACTGGTTTCGTCATGCCATAGGTTAATCAGAAGAACAACAATACCTCTTGACTAGTTGTGTCCGAACTCCCTCAACTCGCATACCTGGACAACTCAGTGACAGAACAACCCTTTGACGCTATTGTCACTCCCTACCATGACAAGCTAATCAGTTGGCCGGTTCATTTATTAGGTTTAACACAGTCACGCAAACTGTGCGTGATAATTTGTGACATTATATACTTCTGCACACAAGGAATCTAATCCAAATCTAAGTCCAAACCTCTAATTCCTGACAACAAGTGAAACTTCTCATCTATTAGATCAATACCTTGAGCCAGGTTAGAATTGGTTTTCAAATTGATCTTCTTATAGTATGCTCTGAACTTCATCATCATGCATATGGCCGCATGGGCATAATCGAAGTGACACATCACTACAAATTCAGAAATCAAAAGAGATTTATTCCACCTACCCATATCTTGCTTTTCTTTCACTTTTTGCAGTGATATCACAGGTAGATGAGGTTGAGGGGATATTATTGTTCATTGCAAACCCCAACCATCTCTCTACTTATTTTCTTCACATTGCTAATCAAGTCTCAAACTGAAGCAAACTACATGAACTGAAAATAGAACAAAATTAACAAACTCATATAGGAACTTGGAGCCCTCTAGATGGGTGTCCATTGATGGATGATCTATTCTCCCGGTGCTGAGACACCTTGCTTCAGCCTTTCCCTCTTCATCTTCTTCTTGGAGACTGGCTTCTTCTTCTTAGGGCCAAGTGTCTTCTGTGCATACATGTATAGGAAGTAGTTTCCAACAAGGAATGCCAACACAAGTCCACCAATCACAAGCAACACAATCAATCCTGGGTTCAATCCCTTGCCTGTGACAACGTTTTTCTGTTCATCCATTGTCACACATCATACAAGTTTTGGTTACAATTTTGCATAATATTATAGAGTATGCATTAACCAAAGAAACCAATGATTTTTGTTTTTGCAGAATTCAAGTAAATTTCTATGAAATACTGATTTTTTCCTACAAATTTTACCATACTAAAAGTCTAAATCCATAATTGGAGTATAAATATTATATGTTGATCCTCTATTCCCAGAATTTAGTTCGAATGAGCTTTAACTCATTAGTTCAATATGCAATATTTATCAATGTTCAAAACTTAGCAGTGACAGTGTAAAAATTTTGTCTGACATTTGACCTTGTCTGCTGATCGAGCCATTGAATTATTCTGATTTATATTTTCCTATATGCTCTGTCAGGCTAATTGTGAAGACAAGACTCTTGAGGATAAGGATTCAACTTTTTAGAGAAGAAGAATTTAAGAAAAGGATAGGAAAAAAGGAGCCTTGAAACACCAATTCCTAGAACAGAAAGACTCAACCTCATAATTCGGATAGATCCAGAGCAGAAAGGTGCTCTGCATTTTTCGTTTATTTTTACGAGACAAACAATTTCCCGCAGCTCACGCACAAACACACACACAAATGCTATCCTATTACATATAAATCCGAATCAAACAAACCATAAACTTTCCCGATTACATATATATCCGCCATTCCCCGTGTAGAAAAAGAATCTAACCAGGAAATGAGTCTCGAAGATTATGCGAAAATGAACAAAATTTAGCAGAGAAATGTAATTAGAGAGATTAGAGAAAGATTTACCATTGGATCGAAAGACGGAGGAACATGCTGATCTGCAAACTCTTCTTCGTAATCCATAGCTGAGAGGAACGATTAGAGCGAAGAGCTGAAGCTAAACTCTGATGGCTCATTTGCTCTTAAAATCGGTAGCCCAGAAACAGTCAGTTCTAGTATTTGCTCCATGGTCCTCCTATTTCTTACTTTTTCCTTATTGGTCGTCGGTTACTGTAAAAGAAGGCTCTAGAATCCACCCAAGCAAAACGTAAATCCAGTATATACAACTCTGTTTTTACTCCTTGCTTGACACATTTAATCTTGGCAACTCCTAATAAGCTTAAAAGTCCTTGCCAAAAGGTTGTTGAAAAAGACCTGCTATGATGATATCATTTCAAATGAAAAGTTACATGTTTGAGTTCCATTCAAATCAAGGATGTTTGAAATAATCATGTTGATCATATATTATTTATACTATAAATATGTTAGATTATAGTTTTTTTTTTTTTTATAAAAAAGAATAAGGATCAAATATGCATTCTGCACACCAAACTGCAATTAAGTCATCAAACTCAAAAAATGCAATTGAATTCCTAAACAACACAAACTCATATAATTCAACTCAAAAAATGATCTGTTTATATGAAATTATGCTAACGTGACGGTTACCAATTTTAAAAATATTTTTTAAAAATAATTATTTAAAATTAAAAAAAAAAATGCTGAAGTCAATTGTCTCCAGCCGTCTTCGTCTCCATGACCTCCTGGCTATGGAGACAAGATCTTCGTCTCCTGTCATAGAGGTGAGACGGAACTGGTTGGAACCTATTTGTCTCCGATAGTTCCTGATTTTTTTAAATTTTAATGAATTATTTTATTTAAAATTATTTTTAAAAAATTGTATGAGTTTGTGTTATTCAGAGATCCCATTGCATTTTTTGAGTTCAATGATCTAATTGCAATTGAGTGATCTCTTTAATAACCCTAAAAAAATATTGCTAAAAAAAGTTATAAATCGCGTCACTTTGTAACCCAATATTTTTCACCCATTACCTTTGTACAATAAAATTCGGTTGAACTAACTAAATTAATTTTGTGTAAATTATACTGTGAGCTATATGCTTAGTTTTAGTTACAATCTTGTAATTAAATAATACTTCATTATTAAAACTCAATGTAGAATATGCTAATCTTGTAGTGAACGTATTGGTTTTTCCTCAATTTTATCGTTCCTTCAATGATGAAGTGAACACATTTTATCACTTAACATTGATTTAAAATGAAATTTATTTGCTACACAAGTAATATAATTAAGTGACCGGAGTTAAGTGAGTGGATGTGCTATCTTATAATTAAGGAAATACATTTAACACTTTTTTAGACACCCACATGTACAAGTGGCATCTGAAGCAACAAGTGCAAAACCGGGTAAAACTAAATAACAAAACGAACCAGGTAAGTCTTCTTAATTTTACACGAAACCAAACTATATACAACTCAGTATTTGCAGTTGTGGGTGGAGATCTGGGAGAAGTTGACCTAGTTGAGAGAGGTTGAGGTTGATATATAACCTGGGAGAACAAAAAGTATGCTAGGCAGGGTATATGGTACACTGCTATGTCAGCAGTGACGTGGTGCATTATTTTGCTGGCTACTATTTGTGGCCTCTCAGATGAAAATTCCATAGGATCTCTCATGGCACTGTCAAGATTCTTGACGAATCACAGTTGCAACTGTTTTGGCCCAATGTCTAAGATGCCTCTTAACATCAGCAGCTGCAGAGGCCCTTGGCATCCTTAGATTTAGCAATGGTGAATTGGGACTCTTTATGAGCCATGCCTCTGATAGGTAAGGCCTCACTCTGCCTCTTTCCATGTCATCTTCGTCTTCGTGTTCTCTTTGAGAATTCCAACTCTTTAACACTCTTTCTGGTTTAGCTTTGATCAGTTGAAGTCTTTGCAGGCCAGGAACGACGCTCATCGTCTTCTTGCTTGTCCGTTCTTTGTCGAATATGAAACCTAAATCCATGAACCCCTTTACTTCTTCGAGCTCGAGCTCCCCTAAGCTCTTGCAGCTTCTATCAAGAGAGGGTGAAGATGTATGAGACTGGCTTTTGCAGGCTGCAAGATCTAATCTTGTTAGCCTTTCCTTTGCTGTGGTCTCATTCTGCCTAGCTTCTTCTTCTTCTTCTACATCTTCATCCTAATTGACAAAAGCAGCATACTTCAAAAAATTAGTGATAAAATTCATGGGTTTAGGTGGCTGATGATGATGTTACCTGTGAAGTTATCTCATCAACTGTTGAAGATGAATCGTTTCCTGCCATTGATGAGGTTCGAGAATATTGAAGTGATTCAAGGGGTTTTGGACATAGTACTGTAGGGGTTTCTGTAAAGAATATAGACTGGTAAAACCAGAGACAGTCCATGACACCTAACAATGAAAATTCATAGCTTTCTGCCATGGATATTGATAACCTTCAAGAGGATAAGAAAACTGAGAGTATAGGGTTGTGGTATAAAAATATATGCAAATTGTGTGGGGCCAATTTGAAAAGGCTAGATGTGGTCATGAACAATGGAGACTCTTTTTCCACATGTTTTGCATGCCAAATCAGTTTCTCCATCCCACACTACAAAGACCACTCATTGGGTATATCTCAAGAATCTGTATAGGCAATTTCCCACATAGAGCCAAACATTAGGCATATCACAGCACTACAAGATAGGCATATTCTATATTTGAATGAATTTATTTGCAGATAAACAAAAGTAAATCAAGTCTAGCAGCAGTAGAAAATAGGGAATCCTTTCAACCAACTATTAAGATTTAAGAGACATAAACACAAAGAAATGAGCATTAAGAAAATGGCATCTTCAGATATCACCACCGCGAAGACGGAGAACAAGATGGAGAGTGGATTCCTTCTGGATGTTGTAATCGGCTAGGGTGCGCCCATCCTCGAGCTGTTTCCCGGCGAAAATCAAGCGCTGCTGGTCTGGAGGAATGCCTTCCTTGTCTTGGATTTTCGCCTTGACATTATCAATTGTATCGGAGCTCTCCACCTCCAGAGTGATTGTCTTCCCAGTTAATGTCTTCACGAATATCTGCATACCACCGCGCAGCCTCAGAACCAGATGCAGCGTTGATTCTTTCTGGATATTGTAATCGGCTAGGGTTCGGCCATCCTCGAGCTGTTTACCCGCGAAAATCAACCTCTGCTGATCGGGAGGGATTCCTTCTTTATCCTGAATCTTCGCCTTCACGTTCTCAATTGTATCCGAGCTTTCAACTTCTAGGGTGATAGTTTTCCCAGTCAGAGTTTTCACGAAGATTTGCATACCTCCGCGAAGACGGAGAACGAGGTGGAGTGTTGATTCCTTCTGTATATTGTAATCAGCTAGGGTTCGTCCGTCCTCGAGCTGTTTCCCGGCGAAAATCAATCGCTGCTGATCCGGCGGAATACCCTCCTTGTCTTGAATCTTAGCCTTGACATTGTCGATCGTATCGGAGCTCTCGACCTCGAGAGTAATCGTCTTACCAGTCAAGGTTTTCACGAAGATCTGCATCCCTCCGCGCAGACGGAGCACGAGGTGGAGTGTTGATTCCTTCTGAATGTTGTAATCCGCTAGGGTTCTGCCGTCGTCGAGCTGCTTCCCGGCGAAGATGAGACGCTGCTGGTCAGGCGGAATTCCTTCCTTATCCTGAATCTTAGCCTTGACATTGTCGATCGTATCGGAACTCTCGACCTCGAGAGTAATCGTCTTACCAGTCAAGGTTTTCACGAAGATCTGCATCCCTCCGCGCAGACGGAGCACGAGGTGCAGAGTAGACTCCTTCTGAATGTTGTAATCCGCTAGGGTTCTGCCGTCGTCGAGCTGTTTCCCGGCGAAGATGAGACGCTGCTGGTCAGGCGGAATTCCTTCCTTATCCTGAATCTTCGCCTTGACGTTGTCGATGGTATCGGAGCTCTCGACCTCGAGAGTGATCGTCTTACCGGTAAGGGTTTTCACAAAGATTTGCATGCTTGAAAGCAGGAAAAAGAATGATTGCTTGAAACGGATTTCGAAATCGAAGCTTTCGGTTGAATACAGTATGAATGTCTATGCAGAAAATTGAGTGAAGAATTGAAAAAATTGGGGCTTGAATAAATAGGAGTATGAAGAAGGGAATGGTATAGTGTAGAAGAATCTAGGATGTTCATGGATAGTTCTGGGGACTAGGGATATGCACCGACCCGTCCACGTAACGCCGTTGACTAGGTAATATTCTAGAATTCCTCAATTCCACAAATTGGGTCAAACTAACCAGATTTAGGAGACCGGGAATTTTATTCTTAAAGTTGTTAACAAAAAAAAATAGAAAACGTATAATATTTTTTTGAAACAGAAAATATATTTATTTTAATTTTTAAATTTAAAAACAAAAGATAAAGAAATAAAAATTTGAATAATTGAGGAAAGTTCAACTTAACCTAAGTTGATATATGATATAATCGAACAAAATAGTTAGGCAAAAATTTTTGTGAGATTATATAAAAAATTATTGGGCGTGAGACGGGTTGAATTGTAGACAACTAGGTGTTTAAGTATCACAATTTTATTTATAAGTATTATAATAGTTAGAGATAATGTTATATGAGATTTTATGAGTATAATGGTTTTATCCTGTTTAATTCTAAACTTTTAAATTAACCATGAGTTCTTTAACTTTCAAATTGTTACTAGCCGGCTACACCAGTTTGGTCGCTGGCTGCTCCAACGAAGGAGAAGGCAACCAGTGGCCTTCTCCTTCGCTGGAGAAGTCGGCGACACCAGTTTGGTCGCTGGCTTCTCCAGCGAAGGAGAAGGCCACTGGTTGCCTTCTCAAGTCGCTGGCGTTTGCACACATTTAATTCGCGTTCGCACACACTTAATCTAATCTAGACAATTAAAAAATATTATATGGATGCACACGATTTGTTCTCACGTTTTCACCTAAGCAAGTGTTCCCATTGGAATCCTATATATATATATATATATATATATATATATATATATATATATATATATATATATATATATAATTAGGTTCTGGTGCGGTTAGGGTGCCCAGGTGCGGTTGTGCGGTTTAATCTGGGTCATTCATCTCGCTTAAATCAACGTCCAGGATTATCAAAATTTAAAAAAAAAAAACTTGGTGGCAATTTTGTAATTTTTGCATCTAGGTCAAAATTAAGGTGAGCGGTTCTGTGATTAATATGCGTGAGTTTTGTATATAAGATGTGTAAGTCTTGTACGTAAGGTGTGTGTGTGTGTATATATATATATATATATATATATATATATATATATATATATATAATTAGGTTCTGGTGCGTGAGTTTTGTGCTTAATGTGCGTGAAGTTGTGCTTAATGTGAGTAGTTGTTAAAACTTAAAGTGTGGACTTTTGTGCTTAAGGTGCGTGAGATTTGTTCTTAATGTGAGTGGAGTTTGTGCTTAATGTGCGTAAGATTTGTGCTTAATGTGCGTGAGGTTAGTGATTAATGTCAGTAGTTATTGAAACTTAAGGTATGTGAGTTAATACTTAAAGTGCGTGGGTTTTGTGCTTAATGTGCGTGAGGTTGTGCTTAATGTGCGTGTGTTTTGTACTTAATGTGCGTGAGTTTGTGCTTAATGTCAGTAGTTGTTGAAACTTAAGGTCTGTGAGTTAATACTTAAAGTGCGTGGGTTTTGTGCTTAATGTGCGTGAGGTTGTGCTTAATGTGCGTGGGTTTTGTACTTAATGTGCGTGAGTTTGTGCTTAAGATCTAACACTTAAGGTGCATGTTTCTATCACTTAAGGTATGTCATTCTTAGCTTATGCTTCTTTCTTCCAGACACGCGTTTTTTTTTTATTTTAAATTTTCATTGATTTGAGCTGTTGATCTAGATTTGATCAACGGCTCAGATCTAACCGTAGTATCGCACGAGAAGCTATACTTGCACCTGAACCCTTCCCTATATATATGTGTGTGTGTGTGTGTGTGTGTGTGTGTGTGTGTGTTCCGGATCAGGTGAGGACCTATCCTTAAGGAGAGGACGTGAGGACTAATCCATATAATCCATTTGGAGTGATCTAAAGGCTATGACAAAACAAAAACGGACTACACAACAAAGTTGGATGGATGCACATCAATCACGCTAGGAATGCACAACAAACTAAAACAGAATGGACAACAAACTGACAACGAATGCACAACAAATTGAGTACTAATGTTCCAGTGGAATTTTAATTTGAAAAACCAAGACAAACAATAATGGTATACTCATTTTACCTAAAAAAAAAAATTATAGATAATGAAAATTAGCTGAACTATTTATAGATTGACGGTTATTGCAATGTATAGCATCAATGTTGTTGCAATGTATATCATCAATAACTCCAATGCAATCCTAATTTGAAAAACCAAGACAAACAATAATGTTATACTCATTTTAACTAAAAATTTATCGATGAAAATGAGTTGAACTATTTATAGATTGACTTACCTTAAAACGTGGCATATATCTGGGGTCGCCATTGGCAATTTGTGATGTATGATCATAAAGTTGAACATGGGATCTTTTGGCACAAGTATGTTTCTTGACAAACCATCCATGACATTCAATACTTCTTTAAAAAATTTACTCACAATTTCAGCAGAATGTTAGAAATGTTCTTGAGTATCTCTATTAGAAATACCTTACTAAGCACATATACAAAGATACCAAAGTTTCTCCAAAATTGACATCCTACTTAAAGGCATCAAAGCGTACTTGGTTTCTAAATCTACATATAATTTGCGAAATCTATCCAGATTCATTCTAAATGCATTAAAACACCGTTTTTCATTACATGTAGTAATTTGTGCATAAAAAAAATACTGTCCATACCTACACACAAACAAATATATGTATATGTATAAAAGAAAATTATCATCATAATTAAATAACATTCTAATAACATGACATATATCATCAAAATATATTGACACAATTCCATAATAATATAAGTCCACAAGTGTCTTAAACAAAAACAAAGTAGTCATCATATGCTAATAAGTTACTAAAATACCAATGTACTCAAACTTAATAATACATATTTAATGGTTTGCTCACTTATACAAATACTTAATGTAGTAAATTTTCAGCTTGTCATTTGGTAATCAAAGGGGATAGGTAACACCCAATAATATGTTAATTGCATATACATAATTTATTAACTACAAATATATAATATGTAAATTGTAGTAGACATATAATTTATTAACTGGAGGTACATAACATGTTAAGTGCATGAATATAATCTGAATGGCGTTTTGGACCCTAGTTCATGGTATAACAATTGAATAGATGCCTCTGGGCTAGCATAGTGGTTAAACACTTGGCCTTAAGTCATGGATGGAGGCAGTAGGGTGGAAGTTGGGACCTCACCTCAAACATCATTAGAGTTAGGTTTCCTAGGTTGGTATAGGGTGTGAGTTGGGCTCTTTGTGCGTACAGTAAGGCGGATGATTGACTGAAAACTACTCATGAAATTTGAATTTACATCCTCTAATGACTCTTGGACCAAGAAATGAAGGCTATGATTAGTTTAACATAAGTTGAGAAATCTATGTATATAAAAAAAAAAAAAAAACAATTGAATAGATTCTGCCCGGGACGGACCCAGCATGGGGGCAGTGGGGGCAGTGGGGGCAGCTGCACCCCCTCAACCCACCCCCACCCCATAACCCGTGTATGTATATATGTATATATAGTACAAGTTTTAGTAATAAAATCGATAAAAGTTAACAAAAGATGAGTAGATCAGGTGATAAGGTGCGTGGCTTGTCTTTGCAAGTGGCCAGGGTTTGAATCTTTAGTGTTTGTGCAAATTTACATTACTTAATTGTGAGATTTAGACACATATATATAACTTTCTTTTATATTTTTTATTCAAATTATTTTATCAAATTAATTATAACTTTCTTTTATATTTTTTATTCAGATTATTTTATCAAATTAATTATGCTTCATATTTTGTTATGAATATTTTTTATAAAGTTTTGATGTATTTTATTTAATTTTTCGTCCACATCCAACAATATTTATGACTATATTTTTAAGTATTTTATTTTTTATCAAACTATCTATTTTGTTTGAATGTGTTTCGATCTCACCAAAAAAGTTTTTTGGGTCCATCACTGGATTCTGCAGAACATTGTGTCGTAAATGGGCTTAAGGATGCGTGAATGAGCGTTCTCCTGTTTTGTCCCATTTCGTCTGATAGTTTTTCTTTTTAAAATATATTTTTGACCAAGTCTACCACAAAATTAGATATTCAAGGTAAAATAGATAACCGACACCATAAAACAACATAGAAAAAAAAACATGAGAGGTAAATGAGAGGTTGAGCTGTAGGTGCCCTTTCGAGCCCCTAAGAAATATTAAATTAAATATATAAATAGGCTATACTTCTCGATTCACGTCATTTGGTCCTGTTTGATAAAATAGTTAGTATATTAACTAATTTTGATTTATTTGACCATTATTAGTTATTTGACTTGATTAAACAATTAATATGAGTGTTTGATTAAATAGGTTTTTGTAACAACTTATTACTCTAAAATGTTAAAATTCAAAAAGTTGTTCAAAGTAATTTTTCGATCAACTTTTTAAGAAAGCATTTTGCATAAAATCAGATATCAGTTAATTTACCAAACACTTTTCTACAACTATGTAATGCTATCAACTAGTCAAACTCACTAACTCAATCAGCTAACAGCTATTTACCAAACACCTCTTTATCTTAAAACCTAAATGCTTTCTCTGTTGGGAGAAAACTACTTCATTTCTCCACTTCTATAACCACCACATGGAGAGGGCAAAATTGACGCTCCAATCAGTCATGCATGACATTCACCTTATCACTAAAATGTTCAACTAGGCTACTTCATCCACAGAAAGTAAAGTCGTCCAGATGTTTGTTGCACTAGGAGTCTAGGACTTGCTTGGAAAATATGTTCCCCATCTTCCACCATGCTTGAGCAATCATAGCAAGACCTCCATTAAGCCTCTACAAATTCTCTCTTTGTTTGTCATGAGCCGATCATGACAAACTAACCACTAGCCTGTCCGGATATAGGTGTCAAAACGGGTTAGCTCGATCCATAT